AAATACGGTAGAAAGTTGCATTTTAATGACAATATTTGGCCATGATTCCGTCGGTTTTGCTCTCAAGTGACGTCACCACGCGTGCTGCCTAAAATAGCTTTTTATTAATATCCAACAGACTGAACCACAGAAAAATTTATTTGATGGTCCCGTTACTTTTTTTTCGAACTTCTACCACCTAGAAAAACGATATATTTTTATATTTATTATTGTGGAGATAAATCGCACATCGTATATTTGTTGTGACAAAACTAGTATACTTTGTTAGAGCGCGGAGAATGTCTTTATACTTTGTTGTGTAAACTAGAACACATAGTTGAGCTGTGCCTTTAGCTTTTATGCATCTCTCTAAAAGAGCGGTAGCCGTTTGTTACGCGGTATGTGACCTGCTCGGGCAGGTTTAAGTGGTTAGGTCACATATGTGGGCTAATCATGGCCTATCCAACTTCTTCGTTCGCATGTCTATTTATATCTTGTAAGCTTTATTAAGTACAATTCCGAAGTGAAACAACATTGCAGAAGAAATGGTGTATGCGTCTAAGGACAAGAATACAAATAAATAATGTAAAAATTCTTCAAATAATTCAGAAATTCAGAAATGTTAGAAAGAAATTATTTTCGAAAATAGTCAAATTAAACAAGTTTGTATAACACTTGACATGAACTTTTATACTTGAGAGCAAAATTTTAAAAGTGTCTCCTGTGTTGTTTAAAAAGTCAATTTATCTACATATTATGTAGTCTAAACTAAACCTTATATATTTAGTTAATTTTGACGATGTGTTTTGACATTAAAACGAATGTATGAACATATGAAGATGTTTAAGCTGCAAGAGCTCTGGTGCAATTATGTGGTAAAATTATTAGAAAAACCGACTGAATTTCTATGTCAATAAATATCTTAATTCAATTATGTTAGTCTCGTTGATGACGTCACCACATGCGCGTAGGCACACTAGGGTTGCCAACCGTCCTCCAACCAGGAGGACAGTCCTCCTTTGGATCAAAATGTTCTACGTCCTCCGCAGGTACATCGGAGGACGCAATTTGTCCCCCTTTACCCACTAAAATGTTCTAAAATTCAAAAAATACGAAAAAATTTTAGATTTTATTTTACCTGGCAACGTTGAATGATCACAACAGACAACAGCGATCTACCATTTTCAATTTGGCATGGTTACAAAACTAGTCAAAAATGGTCATTCATTTTTCAAAATATAACGGGGCTCGAAAATGTATTAATTCTGATTTATTTTGCTCTAAGCATTCCTGCCACTTCTGCGCTTCCTGAGCTAATTTTTTCTTTAATGAATATTAAGTGGCGGGATGAAAGAAATAAAGCCTTGTTGGATTTAATAAAATCAAAACTAATTGTCTCTGCTAATTCCGAAAACAGTTTTTTGATATTATTAAATCAGATGAAAAATTTTTGGATGCAGTTAAAAGCAAAAAAAATATAAGTTTATGTTTTTATTGAGTTTATTTTTTGTTATTTTTCAGAAAAAGTCATAAGTTTATTTTTGTTATTTTATTATTTTGTTAATATATGTTTTGTAAAAAAAATATTTGCTGTTTCCTGATTACTGATAAATTTATAGCTACCTATAGATCAATTACACGATCGTATATTTTTTTAAACGCTAAAAAATTCCTAGTGTCCTCCTTTAGCTTTCTTCCGAGTTGGCAACCCTAAGGCACACTGTACTATGTATACACACCATGGAACGTACATTGATTTCTATGGCTAAATTTGTTGTATATTGTACAACAAAAAACAACCTGACCTAATCTAATCTATGTAGAAGTTTATTTACGTAAAGTTAGGTTTATAACGTTTACATAACCTAACCCAATCTAACTTTTTACAACTTTACTGAGATGGCTCATATAGGTAAATTATATCGGTTCTAAGAGAATCCATAAAAATGAATCCATGTATTATTAACTCTTAATTTGAAAACATGAAAAGAGAAATTAACTTTAGCCATTCTCTGGTACAACAGTACGGAGGAAACAGATTTATACTGTCCAATTAATGAGTTCCCCAAAAGTGTAATTCTCCCTATATTCCTAGTCCTGTTTGTTGTGTCTGCTTGACCTACTCCACTCGGTCGGAGTATTTTATCGGCGTTCGTTGAAGCCGAGCACAAAATCTATGTTGTTCGTTATGCAGAAGTATTTCACTGATCAAAAAGATCATTTCTCTGGTTACTCTGTCATTTATGCTGGAGCAAAGGGAGTAGAGCAACTAGAGCAATCAGAGGGTCTTTCGATTTGGCAAGAATAGTAGCAATCAGCAGCTAATAGCAACTTAGAGTTACTCTGAACTGATATTAGTTGCTATTAGGTACCATTTTTGCCAAAACGAAAGTACCTCAGGTGATTTTTAAGGCACATGACAAAATGTTTATGACATATTCACAATCTTCGTCTAAGCATGTTGATACATTTTCCAATCTAGTTTCTCCTTCTTCCACTAGAAATTCCGCCAATAAACCTAATAAATTTTCATTTTCATGGTGGATAAAAAATTTGCTTTATGTATGCCTAAACAGATAAAAAACTGCTAAAATACCCTAGATAAAGTAAATTTAAAACACACACGAATACAATTAATTACAGCATCTGGTGACGTCAGACGTCACTGCTCCGTACTCTTCATGATCCAAGATCTCTTGGAGCCACTAAGAGTAGCATCTAACGAACAGAGGGCCTTTCGATTTGGCAAAAATAGTAGCTATCAGTTGCTAATAGGTACTATTTTTGCCAAAACGAAAGCCCCCCAGGATTCCTATTTCATTTCATTCAACCAACTTGAATTTAGCTAAATTTATTTTGTATCAGATCTAACCTAAAAGACATACATATCGTCCCTCTTATCACGTAGGGGCGTATAATCCAAGAATTGGATATACACAAACGCCTCTACGTGATAATAGGGACGAATTATTTTACAATTTTTTTTATGAAAATTGTTTCCCGTAATGCAAATCTAAATTATCAATAATGAACTCATATGCCTAGAACACGTGGGATACTGGGTCTCCTTCGTTTTGTTTTTGACAAAATGAAAATACTGATTTAACAAAAAGTTTTTTTAACTATTTACTTCTTTATGTTTTATGTTTGACAGGACCTTAGAGCATATACTACTGGAGGCAGCGTCTCAGTGACCGTATAGGAGTGTATATGCTATCTCTCTAGCAACATGCAATTGCGTGCTGCTAGAAGGAGGTAGCAAATATACCCTCCATCGATCTTATAGTACAAAAGATCGATGATACCCTCCTATACCCTCTCTCTCTCTCTAAACCTCCGCTACACTGACACTCTTGGCCACTGAGACGCTGCCCGCTGCCTCTATATACCGGGTGATTCAGTCTGGTATTCGAGGCCCCGTATATCTTTTATTTTAACAAATAGCTATAACAAACCCTAAATATTTTTAAATCGCAGTCAAACTCTAACAAATGACATTATTAGATCGTCTCCATTGTAACATATATCAAAATTGCTATAGTCAACTGTTTTTGTTCAAATGGCACACTATATATTTTTTTATCAATTCTGGAAGATATATTTTTTTCAGCGTTCAGCTATGTAAGGAAGTCTATAGTTTCATTAGAACTATTGATAGAAAAATAGCAAAAAAGATGAACCCTACTTTTAGTAGCTTTATTCTGAAAAATGATAGCCAGATGTGGAGACAAGTTGTTATATTGTTTAAAGTAACATTTTACTTTTATTTTTAACACGATAATAATATAACAATTTAAAACAATATGTACTTATTTACTATGTTCAAAATGACGTCCATTCGCTTCCAAACACAAAATAGCTCTGTTCATCACTTCTCTACAAACACATTCAAATGTTTCTTCATTTAATCTCCAACATTCTACTCTTATTCTATTTTTAAGGTCGTCAATATCATATAAAGGTGAAGAGTAAACTTTTTTTTTTAGGTAAGGCTAAAGAAAGAAATCTATAGGAGTGAGATCCGGAGATCTAGCAGGCCATTTAACATATTTATCGAATGTTCTTCATCTCTTGTCCTTCTGGATTTAAAAACTTATTTTTTTGAAAACTTTCATCTGCCGCCAAAATCCTGGCTAACTTTCCCAAAATTTTATCTCATGGAAGTTATCTCTGCGGAAAACGATGTTAGTATAAGCGCCTGGCAGCTTTAGCATTCTTTTGGCACTCGTCATAAATTAAAATTATATCTAGTTTTTTTTGGTTACTGTAAGTATTCATGTTATAATTAGTTTTAGATAGAATAGATAGGTACAAAATGTCAATTATTTTGACAAACCGTTATTTAGAAACGTTAAAATACAGTTGTTTCCGCAGCTGGCTATCATTTTTCAGAATAAAGCTACTGAAAGGAGGGTTCATCTTTTTTGCTGTATTTCTAACAATATTTCTAATGAAACTATAGACTTCCTTATATACCTAGCTGAATGTAGAAAAAAAATATCTTCCAGAATTAATTAAAAAAATATATAGTGTGCCATTTGAACAAAATCAGTTGACTATAGCAATTTTGACATATGTTACCATGGAGACGATCTAATAATGTCATTTGACAGAATTTAAGCAACGATTTAAAAATATATAGGGTTTGTTATAGCTATTTGTTAAAATAAATAAAAGAGATACGGGGCCACGAATACCAAACTGAATCACCCGGTATATGCTCTAAGAACAGGACCAATGCAAAAAGTCTCGAAGAGGAGAAAGATAACCCCTTTGCAGGTGGAAAATGGGGCAATAGTATTGCTGGAAATTGATTTTAAAAGTGAAAATAAATAGAATATTTGCTCCAAATGGTTAGTTGCAATATATATCCAATTGTTTCTTACATCTCAACGTTAAAAAATGAATATGCGAGTGAAATTCATACTTCGAATAAATGTTTAATTCCTCGTTATTCTCATATAAATTCATTGGAAAACCGATTATATTGTTTTGAGTTTTAACCACAAAATTTCTTTCAGGTTTCACTGGCACACAGTGCGAAATCGACATAGACGAGTGTAAAGAAAAGCCCTGTCTAAATGGCGGAATATGCCACGATCTCATCAATTCCTTCAAATGCACTTGTGCCACAGGTTTTACGGGCTCAAGATGTCAAGTCAACATCGACGACTGCATTTCCAATCCTTGCCGAAATGGTGGCGTTTGTCAAGACGCAATAGCAGGCTACACCTGCGAATGTCCACCGGGTTTCACAGGCTTATCTTGCGAAACGAATATTAACGATTGTCAATCGTCCCCGTGTCTCCATGGAGAATGTATTGACGGAGAGAATTCCTTTTCATGTACTTGCCATCCTGGGTACGAAGGACATTTATGCCAGCATCAGATCAATGAATGTGAATCCAACCCATGCCAGTTTGGAGGAATATGTCAAGACTTGGTTAACGGATATCAGTGCCTTTGCAAAGCTGGTACATCAGGAGCAAATTGTGAAATTAATGTCAACGAGTGTTACAGCAATCCCTGCCGAAACAATGCTGTATGCCAAGATGGGATTAACAGGTATTTAAAATTAAACAAGCAAATAATAATGTAAAATTAATTTTTCGATTTTTTTCATGCACACAGTGGTTATCCATACGAGGCGTAAGTTCTGTTTACTGTGAACGTGAATGATTTTATTAGTGAATGTGCATGAAATATGACGATATTGTCCTTGTCGTTTATGTTCATTTTGTACTATACCTTCCTTACCAAAAATAAATGTGATTTGTGCATGTCTTCAACTTTAATTTCAGAATAGTACTTAGTAAAGCGATTTGTTTCAGTTATACATGTCAGTGTGTACCAGGCTTCACCGGACGGCATTGCGAAAACGACATAGATGAATGCGCGTCAAATCCTTGTGCTAATGGAGGGGTTTGCATCGACCTAGTCAACGGCTTCAGATGCGAATGTCCAAGAGGTTATTTTGATGCTCGCTGCTTGAGCGATGTTGACGAGTGCAAATCTAACCCTTGCAAACATGGCGGGAGCTGCGAGGATGGGGTTAACCAATTTATCTGCCACTGTTTACCAGGATATGGCGGAAAACAATGCGAAATCAACATCGACGAATGTGCCTCTAATCCTTGTCAGCACGGCGGGATATGCCACGACCATCTGGCTTTCTACACTTGCGAGTGCTTACCTGGGTATTCAGGAACCAATTGCGAGTCCAACATCGACGACTGCGCTATAAATCCCTGTAAGAATGGCGGTTCCTGTATAGATCTCGTCAACGACTTCAAATGTGTATGTGAACTGCCGTTCACTGGAAGAGAGTGTCAGGATAAGCTCGATCCGTGCTCTCCGAATGTCTGCAGGCATAACGCTAAATGCACTCCCAGTTCGAACTACCTGGACTTTGCCTGTTCCTGCGGTATAGGCTATACTGGCAGATTTTGCGAACAAGACGTCGACGAGTGTGTGGTATCTAAACCATGTCGAAACGGTGCGACTTGTAGAAATACCAATGGGTCATACCACTGCATTTGTATGAGAGGCTATGAAGGGAAAGACTGTTCTATCAACACTGATGATTGTGCTTCATGTAAGTAATTTATCAACTTATAATTCCCCATCTTTTGTTATTGAAATTCTGTAACATTGTAATATGTGGCTTAGCATCAGTTTTGTTATTTAATGTAGTAGTATCTGCGCTGGAAACAGCACCATACTTAATATTGATTTGGGAAACGAACTTTCGTTTCTCAGATACTTTGACTGGATATAGAAAAACCAGCCCTAAATCGATATGTTTTTCTTTTAGCCCCTTGTCAGAATGGAGGCACCTGTTTGGATGGAATCGGTGAGTTCATGTGCCTCTGTGTCAATGGCTTCGAAGGAAAACAATGCGAAATTGACATCGACGAGTGTTACTCGAATCCGTGTCAAAATGGCGCCACCTGCAATCAGTACGTTGACTCATACACGTGTACCTGTCCCCTTGGTTTCTCTGGCATCAACTGTCAAACCAACGATGAAGATTGCACGGAGAGTAGTTGTATGTATGGAGGGACATGCATCGATGGAATAAATACATACATTTGTACCTGCAAACCTGGGTAAGTATCATAATTTTAATTAAAAAAATCCCTTAAACTTTACATAGTGTTTCTTGAAATGAATATTGGTTCAAGTACGAGGCATATTTTTATTCTCTCAGTGTCTACTTGAACAAAATTTATGATTTTTCCCGTTTTTTAGATATACGGGTTCAAACTGCCAGAACAGGATAAACTTGTGCGACAGCTCTCCGTGTTTGAACGGTGCCACCTGCCAAGATCACACCACACACTACACATGTCACTGTCCGTATGGTTACACGGGCAAAGACTGCGGTGAATACGTAGACTGGTGCGTGACAAACCCCTGCGAGAATCACTCCACCTGCCGACAAGTAAAGAACCAGTACCAGTGCCTTTGCGGGCCGGGATGGACTGGCAAGGTGTGCGATGTGGAAATGGTTAGTTGTCAGGATGCTGCCGTCAGAAAAGGTTAGTGTTTTGTAATTACGTTTCTACAGGGCGTTTTGGTTGAAGCATCCCAGTCCAATATCTCGAAATTCAAATGAGAATTTTTATTAATTTCTTTTTATAGGTGTACCTCGGTCACTGCTCTGCAACAACGGCACCTGTGAAACTATCGGCAATTCCCACAGGTGTCTCTGCAAGGAGGGATATACCGGCTCGTACTGTCAAAAAGAGATCAACGAGTGCGAATCTGCCCCTTGCCAAAACGGTGCCACATGCAAAGACCTGATTGGATCCTACACCTGTTCCTGCCCCAAAGGCTTCCAAGGCCAGAATTGCGAATTGAATGTGGACGACTGTCAACCGAATCCTTGCCAGAACGGCGGCACCTGCCACGATTTAGTCGACAGCTTCCTCTGTTCCTGCCCTCCAGGAACTCTGGGTTACATTTGCGAGATCAACATAGACGATTGTCGGCCAGATTCCTGCCACAACAACGGGACCTGCATAGATAAAGTGAGGGGATTCGAATGCAAGTGTCCCGCAGGGTTCGTGGGACCCCGCTGTGAAGGCGACATCAACGAGTGCCTTTCGAATCCTTGCTCCAACCCTGGTACCCTCGATTGCGTCCAACTAGTCAACGATTATCACTGCAATTGTAAAGCCGGTTACATGGGACGGCATTGCGAACGTAAAGTGAATTTCTGCGCAGCTTCGCCTTGTCAAAACGGCGGAGTATGCACCACCATACACTCGGGTCACAAGTGCACCTGCCAGGAGGGTTTCTATGGGAAGAACTGCGAGTTCAGTGGTTATGACTGCGATTCGGACCCCTGCTTGAACGGAGGAGTTTGTAGGATATCCGATGGAGGAGGTTACATTTGCGACTGTCCCGTGGGAACTTCAGGAATTAACTGCGAAGTCGACTCCATAAATGAATGTAACAGCAACCCCTGTTCGCATCCCGAAGCGATTTGTCAGGATAAAATCGGCGATTATGCTTGTTATTGCCCACCAAAGCACGTCGGGAAGAACTGTGAGGTGTACGACCGCACCTCCTCCGGTGGCTTAGGAAGACCCGTCAAGCCGCAGCAAGACTTCAGTAGTTTCTATGCCAGGGACTTGGAAAAACAACGTCAACAGTGCATACGGAATAATTGTCCCTTGAAGCGTGGTAACATGCGTTGCGACGAGGAGTGCAACACTTATGCTTGCGATTTCGACGGAAACGACTGTTCGCTTGGCATAAACCCTTGGGCAAACTGTACCGCGCCCACAAAGTGTTGGGAGGTATTCATGGATGGTGTTTGTAACCAGGATTGTAACAATCCCCAGTGTTTATTCGACGGAAGGGATTGCGAAAAGAAACTGAAAGCGTGTAACCCAACTTACGACGCCTACTGCCAAAAGCATTACGCCAACGGGCACTGCGATTATGGTTGTAACAACGCCGAATGTAACTGGGATGGATTAGATTGTGAGAAAGAGCCCCCGGATATAGCCGAAGGTGTTATATCGATGGTGGTGCTTATGGACATCGAAGGCTTCAAGAAGAACCTCGTAGCCTTTCTTCGAGACACAAGTCACCAGTTGAGAACTACCGTTCGAGTAAAAAAAGATCAACTCGGCAACGATATGATTTACCCTTGGATGGGCCCTATGCCCAACAGCGGTCTTCAGGACGATTACTTCAAACACAAGCACCATATCGCTTTCTCTGAGCAAGCGCAGACGGGCATTAGAGTGTATCTAGAAATCGACAACAGAAAATGCACCACGGTTTCGGAAAATACAGAGTTCTGCTTCCAGACAGCTAGCGCAGCCGCTGAATTCTTAGCAGCCAAAGCTTCTAAACACACCCTGTCTCAATCCTTCCCCATTTACCAAGTAAATGGTTCTACCAGCCTTGACGAAGAAAACAATCCACCTGCCAACGCTAAATACGTCCTAATAGGGATTCTGATGGTTATCTGCTTATGCGCCGTCATTTTCGTGGTGATTCAAACGCAGAGAAAGCGTGCCGCCGGTATAACGTGGTTCCCGGAAGGATTTTTAAGGACTAATTCCGGCACCAGACGAAGATCTCGGAGACGGGGACCCGAGGGGCAAGAACTACGTAATCTAAGCAAGAATCCGTCTATACCCGGTATGGAACTAGATCCCAATGCTCACCATGGTCACGTACCGCAGTGGTCTGATGACGAAAGTGACATGCCCCAACCGAAAAGGTTCAGAGGAAACGATTTGGGTTATTCCAGTGATCACACAGCTATAACAGAATATGAGGAGGCCGAACCACGGTGGACGCAACAACATCTAGAGGCTGCCGACATAAGACCTCCTCCTATGCTTACACCTCCGCAAGGAAATGAACACGCCAATATAAATGCCCGAGGGCCTTGCGGAATGACTCCGATTATGGTAGCGGCCGTTAGGGGCGGAGGTATGGACACCGGAATCGATGAAGACGATGACGATGGAGCGGGAGCGATCATCCAAGATCTCGTAGCCCAAGGCGCCGAATTAAATGCCACGATGGATAAAACCGGAGAGACCTCTCTACATCTCGCTGCCAGATACGCACGTGCCGATGCCGCTAAGAGACTTCTGGATGCTGGGGCGGATGCCAACGCGCAAGACAATACCGGTAGAACGCCTCTCCACGCCGCTGTGGCTGCGGATGCCCTAGGAGTGTTCCAGATATTATTGAGGAACAGAGCCACAAATCTCAACGCTAGGATGCACGAAGGCACAACACCGCTCATATTGGCAGCCAGGTTGGCCATCGAAGGGATGGTCCAGGATCTCATTAGTGCCGAGGCCGATATCAATGCGGCCGATAATTCCGGGAAGACGGCACTCCATTGGGCTGCTGCTGTGAACAACGTGGAGGCGGTCAATATACTGCTCGCCCACGGAGCCAACAGAGATGCTCAAGATGATAAGGTAGGATTATATACTTTTCTCTAATGACGATAAAATTAAAAATTATTTTAAAAATCTATCTATCTATGATAGATTTTGACTCGTTAAAATTCTTGGCATTCTTGCGGTTTCTCTTCACGTTACTCGAGTAATTTTGCATGTAAATACTTGCCTGCTTCTTTTCATATTTCTCTTCCTCTGCAGACATATCTCTTAGCTCTCTCTCAAATCATTCAGTTAAAAAATAAAGGAACAAATATTTAAAATGAGAGTAAATTTTCCAATTTTTCTACCTCATTATTGTCAAACAAAAAATGAAATGTTTTAATTAGCACGTGTAGTTTTTAATTAGTATTTACAGTGAAATCTCCTTTGGGCGGACACCAACAGGATTGACTGAAAGTGTCCCTGTAAGAGGGGTGTCCGCCTAAAAGAAATACAAAAAAAAATTGTTTTTTAATGAAAACTGAAATTAAAGAAATTGGGACATTTAAACCGTATAAGTATGTATGTAAAATGATTTTAAAATAAATAAAAAATTTAAAACTAAGGGAAAAATAAGGATTTGTTAGGTACCTTACAAAATACATACAAAATATAATAGAATATAGTAATACATAAAATTAAATGAAATGTCACTTTAATGATGCAAAAATTCATTTATTGTTGTTTGTCTTCTCTTTTTCTTTAAAATGGCGTATCGCATTTCTAATTTGGAAAGAAACTCCAAAGACTCTGTATCTCTGTGATCTTCGGCAAAACGTTTAAGCTGATTAGTTAAGGTAATAGCTTCACCATAATTTGGGATAGCCTCTGTTAGTACTGAAAACTCATCGACATCAGAATCTTCGGAGAGTTCTTGTATTTCAACTGGATTTGCAATTTCTAGTCCTGAATCTGGATTTTCATCTAGGTTCAAAAAATCATTAAGGTTTTCGAATGAAAACCTTAATGACTGAATAGTCATTTCAACAAATTTTTATTTTTGAGGATATCTGCAAGTACGTTAAGTCATCTTCTAGATCAGATGTAACAGCCTCAGTTAACTGGTCTTCACTTTGCATATTTTCATGCTTAACCCTTTCGCTGCGCAATACGTCTGAACGTAGCTACCGCGTCGTGCGCGAAAGTTTATCGCGTGCGAATATATACGTCTGGAGCAGTTAGACCACTTATAGTTTTACATTATGTTGTGTTAAATTACGATTTACGATAAATTTTAAGATTTTATTTTGAATAAAATACAGTATATGTACTAAATAGAAATTGAAAGAAACATGAACAATCTTGGTATTATTACCAGTACCTCTTTCCATAAAAATATTTGTCACAATCGGTATAAGCTCGCCCGCAAAAATTCGCCTTACCAATTGCAATAACTGAGTCACAATGCGCATGGTTGTGAATATATACGGTTTGAGCAGCCTGATCCAATTTAACTATTCATGCCAATTAATCCGTCTGGAGCAGTTTAAGCCCTAAAAATTTTTAGCGAAAATATACGTCTAGAGCAGTGAAAGGGTTAAACCCTGCTTTACTGAAGCAATTTTTAACTGTTTCCTTGGTTACTTAGTCCCAAGCGGTTTTTGCAAAGTAAACTGGATCCAATGGCGTAATTTTCTTAATTAACTCAAAAGCTGTACCAGCAGTTTCAATGTTTACTAGCAGATGTTTTAGTATTAGACTTCGGTAGTTAGTTTTGAAATTTTTTATAATTCCTTGGTTTTAGTGGTTGACAAGCTGATGTACAATTAAGGGGTAGAAACAAGATTTTTATATTTTTTAATCGGACATCTTTTGGATGAGATCCTGCCTTGTCTAAAAATAACAAAATGTTTATTTTTTCTTTTGCCATTTTCCAATCTAGGTCTAGCAACCACTCTGTCATAATTTATCCTGTCATCCAAGCTTTCTTATTGTATTTCCAAGTTACAGGCAGGTTATTTAATATTTTTAAAAGCTCTGGGTTTAGCTGCCTTACCAATGACTAAGAGTTTTTCTTTTTCTCTCACCATATTTGCACAATGCAAAATTGTAAACAACCTCTCTTTGGGATATTTACCTCCAACACATTTTTCTTTTTTTTAATGTTAGCGTTTTGTTGGGTAGAGCCCTAAAATACAGGCCTATCTCATCGGCATTATAGATGTCTCTCGGTGGATATCCCTTAATTAAAGAAGGGCATTTTTCCAAGAACGATGAAACATCTTCAGCAATAACCGAAGCTCCTTCTCCCGAAATCACTTTAAAACTTATGTTGTGGCGGATTCTAAATTTATTGAGCCAACCAGAAGAAGCACTGAATGTCCCAGAGACTCGGCTATTCCTTTTGCTTTGCATCGTATTAACGGACCTGAAAAAAAATATTAAAATTAAGTTCCTTTGCATTTTTGTCACGACAAGCCTACTGATAATAATCTAACCCTTTTGTCTATTTTAGAACTGATATGAAAAGAACATCAGCGCACTAATACCAGAAAACCTTATCTAAAAAAAAATTCATATGCATACCTGTCAAAGGAATTCCCTTATGGCGAGCTGCTATAAACCAGTTATCACACAACTTGTCAATTTTGGTACCATTGCCCATCAAAAAGCTTCTTTTTTCATCCAAATTGCTGTTCGACATCCACTTGTTTAGAAAGATTTCTTTATGTTTAATTATACCAGCAGCTTGTGTTTTTCCGATATTAAAACACTTGGATAAGTTCCTTACACTTAACTTTTCCTTATTGTGAACTTCAACAATCTCAATTTTTTGTTTAAGTGTGAGAATTTTTTTATTTGGAGCCATTTCTACTATGAATGTGTCGCCCATTGTGTCTTTTCCGCATAGATGTCAGACTAATATTGAATCCCCGCGTGTACCGAAAGAATGAGAATGGTAAATCCCTGGTTTACTCGGGGAAGTCCCTCATTCAGGCCAGGCAGAAACACACGACGTAGGCTGAGCTTGTACCGAAAGAGTGATGTTGGTGAATTCCTGGTTAACTCGGGAAAGACTCTCAGTGAAGACAGGCAGTGAAGTTGACACGCGGCGTGATTGAGAAATGCAACAGCGACACTCGCGAGAGAAAAATGAGTCGAGGCGTTTTTTTTATTTTGTTTTTTGTCCAATAGACGTAATAAGCAATTACATATATTTTATGTAAAATTTTTATAGAAAAGTCTTTAAGTATGTACATGCATTGTTTTGTGTTCAAAAGATCCCGTGCGCTTCATTTTCAATGAATTGTTTTTGAATAGAGGCTTTAGGCTTTTTTTCGCGACTGAATATTAGTGAATATCTGACTTGTAGTTAGTATTTCTATCTCTTTTTATCTTAGTTGTTATATGATAGTTTACATCTTTTCAGTCCCTCATACTGCACATACTACAACATTCGACATCACTCGCAAAAAAAAGCCTTTTATTTTATTTCTATCCTTCCAAATTGTTGAAATAATAGTGTCACACGCCACATTCTTTTGCTTGCTTGCATTAGTTTCTCCGTTTTGTAATCTCTATATTGTGTGATTTTTCTTATTTATTAAACACTTTCCTCTTCGACATTGTGATAGAAAGTGACAATTAATACATATAACTGTATGCATAGATAAATCGTAATTTATTCCAAATGTACTAACTGGTGTCAAAAGCGTGGAAGCCGGCAGGGCGGGCGGAAAAGCAGTGCCTTGGTTTTAAGACCGTATATCACTGTTGGTCGTTATAACTGATAGATTTTATGGCAAATGTATATAAAAACACGTCGTTAAATCCGAAATGTTATTGTAAATGGTGTTGTACTAAATATTTTTAATATGGTATTTCTATAGGATTTAATCGGGACTTCCAAATTTCGTCGTTACATCCAATGTCATATAAAGCAATGTCATTATAACCAATTTTCACTTTATATTTGTTATTTCTAAAAAAAATAATTAATTTTCATCGATGCAGTTATTTATTTTCTGATATGACATCGATTTAATATCTTTTCTATTTAATTATTATTAGGTTGTCTTGCTTTTTAAAGTAAATATTTTTTTATACATGATTTTTTCGAAATATTTGAATACTTACTAATAGAACTTATAACATATCTGATGGTACGTCTAATGAAAACTTGTCTTTTTAACTTTGCAGGATGAAACACCTTTGTTCCTAGCTGCTCGCGAAGGTTCTTACCAGGCTTGCAAAGCTCTGTTAGAGGCCTACGCAAACAGGGAAATCACCGATCACATGGATAGGCTTCCCAGAGATGTAGCGAGTGAAAGGCTACACCACGATATCGTCCGACTGCTAGACGAACATGTTCCTAGGAGTCCACAGATGGTTAACGTTATGCCCAATAATAACATGATGAGTAAGTTTTTTTATATGCATATATTTTTATTGTAGAATAACAGAGTTGATTAAAATCATGAAAAAAGATCATTGGTAGATATTTTTAAAAGCTTTGTTCATAAAGCAGTCCAAAATCACAAATAACAATATGCAGGCTGCTTCACAACTATTAACAAAAATAAAAATTGGAATTTACAGGCTTCACATAATATTCAATCTATTTTATCTTTTTTTTTACCATTTCCATCTAAAAAAAAATGGCAGTGATGAAAATTTTAGGAAATTTTGTTACGATATCGAAGAAATATATCAAACAAAAAACAATTTGATGTTGCATCGCACATGCCATTGACTGTTGCATTTGTTATTTCAGCGTCTCCCACCGGTCACATGCTGCAACAGCCCACAGTGATCGTTCCTAAACGTCAGAAATCTAAGAGGCCCAGCAAGAACAACAACGGTCCGACGAGTCCGGAGGGGGACGGCATCACCACGACAGGCGGCAGCATCCGTCGAAAGCCCAGCGTAAAGAAAAACAACAAGAAAAATACTCAGCACATCGAGGTCCAGCAGAACGCGGACTCAATAACGTCGACATTGAGTCCCGTCGAGTCCCCTATGACGAACCTGCCCAGCCCCTACGACACCACCTCGTTATACTCCAACATGAATCTAGCCCAAGGCTTGGAAAGCCTCATGGGCAACAAACAGCCACCCAGTTACGAAGACGTGGTGAAAAATAACTTGGGATTCACCTTGGATAACAATTACGGGGCGTTTAACATCTTCCAGGACCCGTTGATGATGCAACAAAGGCAGATGCAAGCTAATACTTTGAGTCCTCCTTATTCCAACCAGTCTCCGCCTCACTCGGTACAGTCAAACATGTCATTGTCGCCACAAGGTTATAACGGTTCGCCATCACCGGCAAAAAACCGGCCATCTCTTCCCACGAGTCCAACGCACATCGCCGCCATGAGGGCCGCAACCCAACAAAAGCACGGCGGCGTGCCGCAGGCTCAGAACCTACAGATGGGGTTTGAATTCAGCCAGACGGGCCTCGAACTGCCGATGGCCTATTCGGGACTGACGAGCACCACCCCGGCTACGCTGCAGCCTCAGCAGTTTCAGCAGCAGCAGCCACAACAACAGCAGCAGCAGCAGCAAAATTTTTACTTGACGCCTCCGTCGCAGCACTCGGACCACCTCCTGCCGGAGAATTTCCCCACCCCGAGCCCAGAGAGCCCGGGCCACTGGTCGTCCAGCTCGCCGCGGTCCTGTAACTCCGATTGGTCGGAGAACATCGCCAGCCCCAACACTTACGTGTCCTCCGGGCACCAGACCAACAAGGGCTCTGACGCCATTTATATTTGAGTGTCGGACACAATTTGTGATCTTGTTATCGTCTATTAAGTTGCGTAGGACGTAAGAAACACGGCTGCATTGTGATGGTTAATGCGAAGATGTAAGTAAATTTTTTTTTTATGTGCGGTTGTCGTACGTGTTTGTTTTTCCAACTGAAAATTTTATTTTTTTTTTGTATATAATCGTTTTATTTTGAAAGGCGGTTTCGGTACGTTGTTGTTTTAAAATGTACTTCCAAAAATATTCTTCTGATTTTAACTACAGGCTTTACCGACTACATTGTCACTTCTTAAGCATCAGTAAAATATATTTAGGCACTGTATTATTATCGGGTTCAAGGTATATTATAGAAATATTCGAGTTTATTACGTACGTTGCCTAATAGCGCTTCGCTTTTCGTATACAGTGTGTTCAAATTTATAGTTGTATAGACCGTTTACATAATTGGTTAAAAATAAGTGAATATCAAACATTTTTTTAATTAATGTTGGCTAAATGGCGGATATTTAAAAATTAGTAACTTACTGGAGAGGTACTTGGTCACTTTTAACCATTTCTTGGTTAAAATTGAAAAAATTATGTTTCTTTGAATTGGTCTACCATTAATATTGTGTGTATGCACATTTTCAAACAGTTCCTGTATCCTAAAAATGACGTTGCGTCTACCTTTAAGTTCATTATTTGAATATGCAGGCCGACAAAATTTTACGAAAGTCCAGAATCAGAGACCGGTTCTAGTGTACCCAAAGGATTTTGGTGCGCTGATTATGAATCCCGAGCTCAGAAATGTCCCATCACCCTAGGTTCTCGAGATATTCTAACCTAAATGTCCAAAAATCACGGTTTTTCGCTATATTCGGGGTCAGATTACACTTGCCCTCCTAAGCGTACTTCGATTTTTTTGAAAATCTTTTTTTTTTTCCTAGAGATATGACAGATTGAAGTTTAGTACTTCAGCGATTTCGTTACAACATGGAAATAAACAAAATTTATCCAAAAATGAGATATAGAGTACTTATATGTCTCTTGAGTCGCAGAATTAAGACCTGCTCCATAACCTCAATATTTCAAGATTTTCTAACCTAAAATTGCGAACACTACTATATTAAGCAGATACATGCTGTTACATTCGCATGCTAAGCTCATGGCAGGTTCATCATAATGCGCTATAACCTACGACATGTTAACTTAAATGCGCAATAACCAGCGAGTGTTAAACGCACAACAGGTTAACCTAAATGTTCAATAACCTGCGAGCGCTAAACCCGCGACAGGTAAACCTAAGTAAGCTATAACCTGCAACGCTAAACCCACGGCAGGTAAACCTAAATGCGCAATAACCAGCAAGGGCTAAACCCACAACAGGTCACAGATAACAGTATTCTAAATGGCGTTTTAAAATCGAAAATTTAATATGATTTATTAAAATTATTCCACCGAAGTTAAACAGTTTTGCATTAGCGTAGCTGGTTCCTGTGTAAGTACACAGTAACCAGCCAGTAAACCTAAGAAGGTTTACCTGTCGTGAGTTTAGCCTACGCAGGTTAATGCGCACTTAGGTTAACCTATCGTGGGTTTAGCGTCGCAGGTTACAGCGCATTAAGGTTCTAAAGGGTTCAGTGACCACAGGTTACTGGTGCATTTAGGCTAATCTGTCATGGTTTTAGCCCTCGCTGGTTATTGCGTGTTTAGGTTAACGTGTCGTAGGTTATGATGAACCTGTCATGAGCTTAACATCCAAATGTAACAGCGTGTATACATAAGAATCTCCTTCATTTAGTAGGTTTTTCTCTATTTTAGGTTTGATAATCTTGAAATATTGAAGTTACGGAGCAGATCTGCCGGTGTTTTCAAATTGAGTGACTCAAGAAACATATAAATATGTTATATCTCGTTTTTGGATAAATTTTGCTTATTTCCATGTTGTAACGAAATCGCTGAAGTACTAAACTTCAATCTATCATATCTCATGGAAATAAAAGATTTTCAAAAAAATCGAAGTACGCTTAGAAGGGTAAGAGTGATACTGAGATTAACGCAATTTTAGAAAAAAAATAATTTCACGTTGTAATCTGAGCCCGAATATAGCGATTTTTGCACTTTTAGGTTAGAATATCGTTTCTGGTTCTGAAAATAGTCGGCTTGTGTAATTTTAGAGTAAACCTACAAAAAATCATTACCTTTGCCATATTTAAATAAAAAAATAACTATTTATAACTGCAAAGACTAATTTTAATGAACGTATTGAAATAAATAACACAATTACTATTATCTGTTCAGTGTCCTGAAGGCGAGTATGTTTCCAGTGTGCACTTGAAAATATTCATGAAAGTTTGCACATGAAAAAATTAATTGTGCACAAATATGCTTTTTAGAAATGCATTAGAAGTTTTATTCTTAGTCTTCTGAAGTTCCACGCTGCATGAACGCCTGTCCACACTTTCATTATTACTTTTTTTAATTATCGTTCGTTGTTTTGAAAAATGTAAGCCACTTTAGATCATTTTCCACAAAATTGCACAATGTTTTGCATTTTCACAGAAATATTTGAATATATTGAAAATTTGTATCATTTGATGTCCCAATGTGAATGCATCTACGACATATTGCGTTATTGCGACATTGCAACAATAATACAGTATAACAAGGAAGTACCTTGTAGTGAACCTATTTGTAGAAGCTTTAACATTATTAAAAACTAAAATTTAAAAAAATATGTCTTTTACCTCTATCAATGGTCTGTACACCTATAAATCGACTGGGACACGCTGTACTTTATATTTTATTTCCTTTTAAATCCGTTTTAGCGCGAATGGAAGTTTATCCGAGTTTCCTCTTATTTGTAAAGCGCTTTGCATTAATGTCGAAATGCAGCATATTGTAACATGTGGTCTCATTTTTATCAAATGCCAAACATTCAGAACGTTTTTTCAGTATTTATTGCATAGTAGCCGATGATTGGGCCAGCTCCCATTCAGAAATTCGAATCCCAATTTGTGCCTTGACACACTTGTTATTTTAAATGTGTTGTAATATTATATAGAATACATAATTACATTTTGTACATATCGTAGAATGTAGAATAGTTTTTATTGCCTTGAATAGATCTTGAAATTCATAAATTCGTACGTTTGCAAGGGGAAATATTTTATTTATTTTTGTTTACAAGTCTAGTTGAATAGCTTATCTATCTATTATGGAGTACATTTTAAATGTATTAATTTATTGTTGAAAATTGCAAACGTACGAATTTATCGCTCGGTTTTAAATATTTCAAAATTCATGACAATTTGTAATATTTCCTTAGTTAAGATAAGTTCTGTCTCTCTATTTTTGTATGTTATGACTTTTTAATCTGTGCAGAACAACTAAATTCATTTTATTGCGAGTCTGTGATTCACGTGTAATTTCTAACAGCCTTTTGACAATATCGTATGGAGTTAGTGATATTAATTAAAAAGAAATATTTTTGATAATCTTTTATACATATAAAATTAACGCACATTCCACTTATGGGGATCAGTGTCTTTCAATTGTTATATGGTTTATAACCAGCGATTCGCGGTGGATGAGCTGTTAGATGTATATGGAGTAAGGGTTGACCGATTATTTTGTACATTTAGTTATTTAAGCAACTAAGTTATTTGCAGTGTTGCCACAATAATTTCAAATGGACGTAAACTTTAAAAATTAAAAAATATATACAAGGTGTCCCATTTACAATAATGAAGTTGGAACAGAATGTACTTAGTTATCTAAGCTAATCAAATTTTCAAAATACTTGATCAGTCTGTTTTCTTTATATTTCTAATACTCCATTCGCCGATAATCACCCAGTATATAAGATTTAGATTGTGTATTATATATAAAAATCAGTTGATAAACTAATAGGTTTATTTATAATTATCATATCTTTAATTAAAATCAGCTGGTTTTTTTTTCTTTGTAAAAAGTACTGATTAGATATCTAATAATAATTCATTATGGTTTTGATAATTAGGTTCTGCAATCTTCGATACCAAGCTATCGATTTTTGCCTCTTATTCTTTACTCTAGAGTAAGTTCTCGAAATCATGCTTTGTACTATATATTTTAAATAAATACATCCATTTTATAATAAAATTGATAATTATTCACACATGTACTCCCGCTCCTATATTTCTCCTATCAATATCTAAATCAAACGAAAAATCGTATCGTTATAGCATTAGAGGTGTATCTAAGGAATATATACAAGGAGTGAAGACTCCATGATTAAAAAAGTGAGACATTTCTTGGGTCATGTAAAGGCGGCGCTGATGTAAGTAGGGTATGAAAAAGACGCGTGATGTAAACACAACTGTGTTACTAGACTCTCCAGTGTATCAGTGCAACAGCGGCGACTTAAACTTTAATTTGGCTCATAAAACGGGATCTGAATTTGTATGTGCGGCCTATAAGAGTCCTCCCACCTTGTCTACACTCCATAGGTGTGCCATTCAGATCATATGTTACATGGAGGGAGCACCGTTTGTTAAAAAGAGAGCGATTAGATTTGTTAAAAAGAGAGCGATTAGAGCGAAAAGATTAGAGAGCGATAGTTTGGGTACTTATTCTCTCTCTCTAATCGCATATACTACTGGAGGTAGCCCGTCCAATCTTAGAGCATTTACTACTGGAGGCAGTGTTTCGGTAGCCGAGAGTGTAGCGGAGGTTTAGAGAGAGAGAGAGAGAGAGGGGTATAGGAGGGTATATGCTATCTCTCTCTAGCAGCACGTGATTGCATATTGTTAAAGAGAGATAGCAAATACCCTCCTATACCTCTCTCTCTCTCTCTCTCTAAACCTCCGCTATAGTCTCGGCCACTGGGGTAGTATATGCTCTAAGCTTCCAATAGCTCAGCAAGTTACAAGAGAGAGGTAGATGCTATGAAGGTACATGCTATCTCTCTCGCCAAACTTGATTGGATCATGATTGATCCCACCTGAGGAGGAGACCGCCAGTGAGGGTGTAATTAACATCTTCACCGACAGTTCAAAAAGGAAAAAAGGTACAGGATGTGGGATCTATTCTAGATCCCTATACATCCGATATCAGTGGGTTATAGATGTGCGTGCCGCCATGATACAAACGAAATTAGCAAGCTGCTAAAGAAATTGCCCACAGGTAGACAAAGTGCAAAAGCATTAGAATCTGCACAGATAATAGACAGTCTGAACCGATCTTGCATAATCGGAAGATAATGTCCAGATCGGTATGGGAATGCCACCAAGCGCTGGTGGTCCGTATTGGGAATCAAAGTTAGCTCATAAACCCAAAATGGCACGTTTTGTGGATACGTCCTTTTGGCAGGAAACCCTCGATATGATGTATGGCATAATTCACTCCGTTCTTAAACTATACTTTGCTGTCGAAATTATGGAGAGTGACTCAGATATAATATAAAAACAATATAATTACTATAAAGCAAGTAAAATATAAAATGATTCTTATAACGGTTCAATATTATTTGTATTAAATGATGTCCCGCTCTCTACGCAGATCGATAGGATCTATAATCGTCTGTAGACTGGGTTACACTGAATGTGGATCTATCTTCTATCTCTCTCTATTGCACTTATAATACTTATAGAGAAATGCTTTTTCAGTGGATGTAAACGGAAGTACGTAGTACTTGGTTCAGCCATCGTTAGAAACACCATAGAATAAGCGTACGTGCGGGGCGTTAATTCCGTGGCTATAATAAATTTATAAATTAAAAAATACAACCGGGAAATTTTAAAATGTAGTAATAATTAAAATGAATTAAAGTGCCGGTTGTAGCAAACGGTCTGTTGGTCATAAATGCCCTAATCTATACGATGGCATCATTTTATAGAAAACACTTAAAATTTAATAATAAAATGTCACTAAAATATTTTTGTTTAGTTTTGTGTTGTTTTAAGTTTTCTTGATAAAACCTCTAAAAATAATAAATATGTATTATGTTTTATTATCTTTTTTCCATAATTTATATACAGGGTGTTGTGCTTAAATATGATACAAGCTTCTTTATTTTGTTAAATATTAATTAATATATTCTATACATACATCATATATGCTTTCTGTTTGTCGTCTGAAAATGTATCGAATTTGATGAAACTTGGTGATAAGACATTTTAAGGAATGCTGAATGAGAATTCGTAATCTATTTTTTGGAAAAAAATCCCTAATACCAATTAGCTCTTTTGTCGACAAAAAGACACGTCCTAGTTGGCCGTGAATTGCATTAATAAAAACAGCACTATTACAGTAAGATAGTTTTTTTTATCCTACATTCTGAAAACATTTTTTTTGAAATTGGTCAAAAAATAAAGAAGCTACAGGCTTGTATCTCATTTAAGACACCTGACACCCTGTATATCTTCTTGCCTCTGTGGTGGTTAGGTAAAACAAGAAAAGTGCACGAAGTATAGTGGCGATACTGGGGAGTGTGAACTCGAGAGGGGGAAGGAAACGGGCACGGGGAGAGGTGTCCGGGCAGCATTATTCTGAGAGACAGACAGGCAAGCGGTAGTCCTAACTGTCCTATGTTACTGTTTTATTGTATAACCTTTGCTATATATGTATGTTTGTCAAAATACATTTATTAAGAAAGTTTACGTTGTGTCAACAATTATTCCCAGACACATATACACAGGCGGTTGTCCCAACTGGCCTACTACACCATCTAAACTGATTCGCTTTGGATTTTCGATTCCCGCACGCTTCATCTTCCTTACTAGTCGAAGAGCTAGCGATGAGTCACTCTCCAAAATTTTGACCGTGAAGTATAGTCAAAACTATAGTCAAATAAAATAAGTAAATCTCAGTAATGTAGTAATTATAAATTAAGCTAATTAGACGAGTTAAAAATTTTTTTCCTAAAAACACGGACGCAAGGAGACAAGCAACCCCCTACCTGGGAATTTTGCACTACCCCAACAGTTTTACATCCTTTCCGAGGGATGGTATGTCTTCCTATACAAGGTTCATCTAAATTAGTACAGCTTCTGTGAATACACTGACATACTGGCCACTAGAAGGTGTATGAGCATCCCGAGCCTTCCCTGGATGGTCACCTATCCAAGTATAAATTCCAAGTCGCTAGGCCGCAGTCGCCCTTACAAGAACTAATAATCAATTAACTTTCTATTTAAATAATATTGTACTGCACAGTATATCAAGTGTACACACATGTAAATATTTAACATTTACCTCAGACACTCCGGTTTTCCTAAAAAATGGTTTAGAAACAAAATCGATTCACAATCATATGTTTCTTGAAATTCTATCTCCCTGCCTGTAACATGAGTAGAGTCAGGCCTGGTTCCTTGAGTATATAAAATAACCACACTTTGCTTCTGCAGTTTATTGTGACAAGACAGCTTGGGGGTGAGCTTCTTGAAAGAGAACTTCCATGAACCACACTGGAAACTAGTAGGGCTCTTAGGTGATTACAATACAATAAAAAAGTATAAAAGTCTTACCTAGCACCAAGGCAACAACCTAACAAATTATATATACAATAATTATAACACATTCAAAAACCTCTAGGGTTGCTGACACCAGTATGGTTATCATCATAGAAAATATTAGTATTATATTTTCTGTGGTCATCATGCAAATGGCTAAACCAGGAGCTGGAGTAAGAAAAAACACTGGCCAGAAGAAATAGTGCCACAAAAAATATAAGTAAAAAAGTTTATCTTTATATGTGTTGCTGGCTGCCTACTCCAAAGACTTAATAGTATTAAATTTTAAATTCTGCTCATTATGTACATTTGTGTCAAATGCCAGCTCCACTCTCGTGAGCACGTCCTGTGGAGGCTCTCGCGCGGGTCTTAGCAAGCGGAAGCTGCAAGAGCGCTAGCCATCCACACTCTCAAATTATTCAATTGCCCGCTACGTCTACTACAAGATCACCGTGATTGAAGTCACTGCGTTCACTGAATTTGCCACCCATGACATGACTCGTATTTAAATAAAAAATTATCAACAATATAATAAATTTATTTAAAAATGTTTAAAAATAAATAAAGAATGTGGTATAATACTGAACACATGATGTAAAAGTAAATAAAATGGTTAATGCTACATAAAAAGATAATCAAATAGTAATAAAGGGTTAGTAGAAGAACAGTCTCAAAAAGTATGTTAAATCGTTTAGTTTACAAAATAAAAATTAGGTATATAATATTGAAACGTCCCTGATTAATGGCTGACCCTGTGTCCTACATGAGTGTTGACGGGCAATTGTGTTTCTCAGAACAAAGGATTTATCCTGTCTTATGTGCCTACTTGCACTCAGTACAAGCGGCTAAAGCAGTTTTAAAGCAGACAAAATATTTGATAAATCCTCCTTTGCCATTCCAAATACTAGATTGGTAAAAAACGTGGTGATACGTTCACACATAGGACACAGCGCCCAGTAATGTCGCACAGACAGCGCTGATTGGACCGACCACTCCAGCACTGTCGACTGCTTTAATCGCCCATGTTAGTGTAAGGAAAAAATTGCTTTTTTGTTAAGTTGAAAATGTAACAAAAAAAATTATTCTATTATAATTTTAGTTTATTTTTTAGTCATAACAGAAGACATTATCAAAGTAAGCAAATTCCTAACCTTATAGACCTAGTTCTGATCCCTCAGGAAATATTAGTCTTTATATATATATTTTTTTATTATTCTTCATCTAACCTTTCTGTGAAATTCAAAAGCACACATTCCATTAAATCTACAGAAAAATCTGAAACTATAATAAAAACACCATATTTTCTTTAAGGTTTATCTGATATGGAATTGACATAAAAAAAAATTAATATAAGCTTATGAATATGAAGAAAATCCTCAAAAAAAAATTATGACTAGTTTGGATACCTAAGAGACGAGATATTAATAAAATAATTTTTTACGATTTAGTACGGAGTCTTATGAGAATACAGATTTTTCGGTCTTTCCACTTAGAATGCGCAACAATTGATGAACAGTTATCTAAGGAACCATATGACAGCTTGTAGAAATCAATTAGGTACTTGCAAGATACATAATTTATAATAATTTTCCTTCAAACTGCTGTCGTTGACTAACTTAATCTTTATGTGCGTTATAGCGGCAACACCGCGGTTCTCGATGTAGCATATTATTTGAAATTTGCAGGTATGACATATGATGTATATTTCAAGCTTAGGCATCCAAACAAACAGGATGATCGAACGCGAGCGAGCGAACGCTGAGCCGAGCGCGCCAGCCAAGTGCAACGTTGCCAAATCTAAAGGCTTACTACTTTAGTCACTAGCGAATCTAGAGAAACTCTTATTTGACTTTAGACATACCCGATAAACCTTCTTAAATTCCTATTGTACACTTAGTTTGATTAAAAATATTAACAGATATAAAATTAAGTAGCTCCTATTACAAAACAAAAAAAATGGAATGTGAAAAATAATACTATTTTGATTAAGTAGTACGTAAACAATATGAAATTGACAAGACAGTCATTTTAATATGATTATACTTAATAATATAACTAACAGTTCGTCTATGTACACATAAAGACATATAAGCTTCTAAAGAAAAATGGAACAAAGTAATACTATCTTGATATATTTAATATTTACGGATCATAATCTTCTGTTACGATTGCCCTATTGCTCGTCAAAAAAGTATTAGCCTACCCTAAACATAATTTTGATTACTTTCCCAACCATTCACTCACTCTGCCGTTGTCAAAGACAAGATTATGTTTTGGTAGCGGCACGAGTCGCCCACGTTTCAGAATTTCCATATTCTCTCCAGGGTAATACTAAAAGAAAAATCACTTTAACACCTTCGACTCCTAAAAATATTTCAGTTGGGAACCGTAAATTGGTTAAAGCGATAGTAAAGTGTTAAGTATAATTTCGCAGCTTTACCAAAAACGTCTATATCAAAGCGACCACGCAATTTCTATTGTTTTATAGCTCCATTTTCTATGTTAAAATGAACAAAAATAAAGTTCATCATTTTGTTAGGGTATCTAGTCGGGCTGAACTCACCTGACATTGTGATATAAAGTCTAGTAGTGCTGATCCCAATTTCCGACTAGATTCGACCAGTTGATCGAGACTGTAAATAAAATTATCATAAATTTTCTACAATCATCAGTTTTTAAAATTAGTACATGCAAATTTTTAGTCTCCATAGAAAATAATTTAGAAAAGAGAATTAAATTTTTTTTTTGATTTTTTATCATGAAGAATGTTATTGAATATTTTTTATCGCTTTTTATTGAAAATAATTTAAATTGCCATAAACATGTTTTTCGTCTATTAGGTGGATATCAGTCAAAATCAAAGTCACAAATTGTAAATCGATGTAACAAAAATATCTCATAAAGTATGAGCATTACATAAGTTGCATACAATATCACTATTTTCACATTACAAATCATTTATTACTGTCATCCCTCAGCCCAAAAAGTGAAGTATAACAAAAATATTAAATAATCTTTCTACATAACTTTCAAAAAGAAAAACGGATTGAAATGAACCAAGTACTGATCGAAATCCAAAAAAGAACCATATCTAACGTGACACAAATGAATCTTTAAAACCTTCGAGTATTATTGGAGGTAGCCTTTCAAAGGCTGGGTATATTCAGAGATAGGTATATTACAAGGTGAAGAGAGAGATAGCTGTTATGCTATCTCCCTCTCACCAAACGTGATTGGCTCACGACTGATCCCATGTGACAGGAACAACCAATAACATTCGGCGAGAGAGATAGCATGTACATTCACATCAGCTATCACACTATTCGCGGCTTTGTTCAAAATCGGCTGCTCCGTTTGAAAATTACATTGACTCTGTAATAAAGATCGAGATGCCTAGTAACTTTTGTGGGTCTGAAGATTATTTTTCATGGATAATTAATAAAAACATCTAAATACAGCAAGGCTGAAGTAGATGGTTACGATGTTTTAGGATTTTTAAGACAAGAACGTTCTAAAAATTACCTGCTAACTTCGGCTAGGCCTCCAGAAACAATTGTATCACAGATTTTAGTGTTGGCATTAACATCAAACAGCGGCACTCCAAAATGACAATCTAACAAGGTCCAAACCTATTTTGTTTCCCAAAAAAGAAAACACAAAACATCGCACTAAATTACATCTTATTAATATGAAGCTAACATTATGCTACTTTCTAATATAAGTTAAAGCAAGGTGCAAAAATTACGAAATACACTTTTGATTGTTAGTTTCAAAGAAAATATAATGTGTGTTGCAATTAAGTACTTCAAGGTGTTAACTACAAATTCCTTGTATTCTAATAATAGAACATTATGCTGTTTTTCATTTAGACCTTTTAAAGAAATCAGATGTTAAAGTAAAAATTTTAAAAAATGGTGTTTTCGTGTTATTTTGATTAAAAAAAAAAACAAGACAAATATAGGAAATGAGGATTATGGTTATTTTGTTGCATAAGCAAACCAGTTCAAAAGTATTGTTTTTTAAAATCAAGTTTTCATTTTCTTTTCATTTTTCTAAAATTTCATGCAGTTTTTTTCGTCGATAACTTCAAAGTGAAAAACAAAAAGAAAATAGATCAAATATTCAAATTCTGCAACTTTGCTCTAATTTGACCAAACTTGTACCGCTTAAACGCACATCCCAATGGATGCTTTAAAGGAGTTGAAATCATGTTGAATAAAATTAAAAAAAGTTTGATCCAAGTCAACTATACTTTTGATCCATAGGTGACTGAAATAAAAAATTTGAAAGGTAAATGCCAACTCTTCTTTTCTCTCAACTTTTTTTTACCAAAATTACACAAAAAATTTTTGCTGGCTTAAGATAAAAGTCTATGCAAAATTTCAAGTTATTTATTGTCTTAATAAGTTATTAAACTTCTATTAAACCTTCTATCTTGAAAACACAGTACCACAATGAAAAATGATGTAAAGAAAATCCCATTATCTTTGCAGACAGAATCTGCATTTACACCACAACATACTTTTTGTAGCACCTCATATAATGAAATTATTAAAATTATTATTAGTCCTGATTCTGATCAAAAACAAAATTAGTATCTTTATTAATTTATCAAATAAATTTCTGAACTCACCTCAGGCGCTATATCTTTTTTTTCAATTTTGTCACTGCTTTCCTCCGCCAGTTTCCGTTTCTCTTCCTTATTTTGGTTTTCTCGGTCTCTTGTGAACATACTGATATTTTCATCCAACGGACTCACAAGGCCTTCCACGGAAACACTGCTCTTCAAATTTAATTCCAACCCGAGGTTTTCTTTTGCTTCCGTGACCTCTTCACGTACGACGAGATGATCCAACTCTTCCTGAAGCAAATCAGTACATTCCTGACTGGTAAAACCGTTGGCAGGTGAGGAAGACTCGCTAGTTGTCACTGGGGTTAACGCAAAGTGATTTTCGACGGGTGACTGAAGTTTCCTTTCCAGCTCGTCCTTGTCGATTATCATTTCAGATTTGTCTCGTGTAGTATCCTTTGCTGACTGCTTTTCTTGGTGCTCTGTCTTAATTTTTTCCGTAGGCGCCTCATCGGTTTTAAAACTGAAGTTCTCGTTGCAAATCGAAAGGGGTTCCATTTCGTTTTCCTTTTCTGCTTTGGCCTTGGCAATTTTTGCAAATCCTAGAAATATAAAGCTTCGTTTGTGTAATATAAGAAGAAATACTTCCAATTTAACTACAAAAACAGGTGAAACTTCTATCCAAATAAGACGATTTGATTTAGATTTTTCATAAACGTTTGTACACTTTCGATAGATGGCGAAAAAAGTCCAGGCGCGATTTATGAAAAAAAAACAAAAATAGAATGGCAAAACCCACATTTTGATAACTTGATTTAGGAGATACAAGGCTTCTTCAATTTTGGCTCGGTTTTTATTTGTGAAATTTGTTTTATTTTTGCCTTGTATATGTTACGACCTAAGATATGAAAGTGCAGTTTTCACCATAAATCTCAAAAAAAAAAAAAAATTCTCAAAAATCGATGCCGGGACATTTGAACTACTTTTTGTCTATCTCTTCCAGAAATATCAGGAACCTCACAAAAATATCAAAATTGGTCTACTTTGTACGTGCTATGTTTCAGTAAAAGTTATTTGATATCATAACCATTAAAAACACCCTGTTAACTCTTTGTGTCGCAAAATGTTCGATCAGTTTTTGTACCTAGTAGCACAAAATTTAGTGAAGGGATTGTTGCTCAAACCTGCACACAACAGAAAATATAACTTAAATTAATTATATTTGCATTTCTAACCGATGCCGCCATCTATACTTCTTTTTTACAACACGATACAGTGATCTACCAAGTGGTATACCGATAATACCTCCGTGACAAGTGCAAAAAATTTTTGAATAAATGGTACAAGCAGAGCACCACTATGCCAATAGTGCAAAATATAAGGTGATGCAATAATTGTACCAGAGAGACGGAAAGAGTTAAATGACCTGATATGATGTTGCAATTTCACCACTTAATTTTATTTGAAAATCGAGGCTAAGATATCTGAGCTTGTCTACTCGTCTATCTCCTTGAGAAATACCAGGAACCATACAAAAATATCAAAATTGGCCCACTCTGTACATGCCGTAATTTAATAAAAGATAATTGGTGTCATAAAAATGACCAAACATGCCATGTATCTGTTAATTGAAATCATTTTTGTCTTTGTCCCTTTCAAAAATACAAAGAACCTTACATAAATGGAAGAACTGTTCCACTTGGTACCTCCCTTAGGACAGCAAAAGTTATTTGATATCATAAGAATGACTAAAAATGCTCTATATATCAAGCCCGAGACATCTGAACTACTTTTTGTCCATCCCCTTGACAGATACCAGAAACCCTACAAACTGTTAAAATAGGTCCACTCTGTACATACCACAGCTTTTGCATTCATCCAAGAGTCGATTTAGTAATTTTTTAAAACTCACCAGTACTCAACCGTCCCGCCGTCCTGCCCAATCTGACAACTTGCTCCTTGTTGGGACACCCAAAATCCAAAACTCCGATATTTGCAAATGTCAGATACCCGCAATTATGATCCAAATCCACAAACTCCCCCAAACACCTGACCGCCTGGTGATTTTTAAACAGTAAATCCATGGGCTGTTCCTTGATTTTCGTCGAGGGATCGGACTTTAGCGGAAACGGAATGACGTAAGTCTGGGCGGGTTGGTGAACGCCGTAGGCCTGGATAAGTACTGGAGAAAATTGTAAGGCTGCGTTCACGTACAGAATATTGGCCACTGGTATGACCGCTGGTTCGTGGAGCCAAGACGTAACTAGTAACCGGGTAAATCCTAGGAACATCCGGGGTAGTTGTTTCAAAGTAGTGCCTTTAAATAGAAAATTATATAAACAGTAAATGTATTCCAAATGACTTGATTCATTCATTTATTTATTTATTGAAATACAATATTTCACAGAAAATAACGGTCAATTATTGAACAGGAGTATAAGAATATAACAGATAGTAAGTGAAAAATATAAATGGACATGGACATTCAGGCAATAAAAAAATACATCACAATATACAGGCGCCGACAATTAAAAATCAATATTATTTCATAATTTATTCAATTTAGGTGTAATATTGTAATAATAAAATGATGCTGTTGCAAGATGATATCGTGTAGTAAATAAGATGGTTTGAAGAAAAGTACTCGAGTAATGAAGGAGGGTGTACAAGGGGCCTAATAAGGCCTAAGTGCCGTGGTGGAAGACAATTCCACCACCCCTCCGACATACATACATACATACAAGGTTGGTTTAACATTTAATAAATTACGGGAGTTTTGAATGTCAATACGCTAATGTTGAATCAAGGTAGCCTTTTTATAAATATGACCCCATTCAAAGTTATATCCTGTATAAAGATACCAACTGCAAATTTCACACTAATTCATAAAAGTTGTCGTAAGTCTTTACCTTTAGTCAGGAGAAGGGAAGGTGGTCCATAACCAGTCATGTGGTACAAAAATAGTTTAAACCATAAGGAATTGACTTCAGGTACAGCTGGTCCCAAGTGGGGAGGTAATAAACTAGTGATCGGACGAACTTCCTTGCTGAGAGGAGCCATTGACACTAACAACCTAATTTTTCTTATGTATATAACAGTTTCTATTTTACCATTTTTACATACATACTTGTATTTCTTTTGTAACAGCCTCATACAGGTCGCATCGTCAAGGGAATGCAAGCTTTCTAACCTAACTAAATCTAAACCGGGGCTAGGTAATTTCCTCAGCGCTAGAACGGTGGACCTCAAAATAACCGCATGATCAAAAAATCTTCGGGCTTCGCCTACAGGAAAATATATGATAAAAAATAAGTAACCGTAATTTGTTTAAATTTTAAATTATTTGAATTAGCTTAATTCTTTAAAATAAAGTAATTTCCTATTTTAAATTCATTTTTATCCCCTAAATTTTTGGTGCAGTTTCTCGTCATCCTGTATAAAATGTTACCTTCTCCTTCGGCATCAAGAACAGAAACTTTCTCCAATTCCGCAAGGAAACTATCCAAGGTCTCATCACACAATTTTCCAACCTCAAACATGGTAACGGCATGTTTCTTCAGACCGGGAGACAAGTTACCCATCATAAGAAATGCCGTAAGGGTCGAATCGAACAAAAACGCTACCCGTTGGCCCTTTCTGGGCAAACTTGAACTTGCCGGACTCTCCGGTACCTCGGTCTGCGGCGACTGAAGCTCGCCAGATATGTTTAAGTTGGAATTATTATTTAGATTCAAGGTTAGCGGTGTAATATCCACATTTCTAGAATAAAACATATTTTTAAATAGTCAAAGATTATCATTTCATTTTTATACTTGGAACTCTGCATGGGGACATTACTCCAACTCGGGTGCCACTTGTTCCTTTCCTGTTCAATGTCGACATCCAATTTTCGTGCAAATTTCAGTCTACAATAAAGCGACACCGCTTGTTTCACTAATTCGGTATCAACTTGCAACACTCCCGCAAGCTGAAAAGAAATTTTGTAAAATCTCGGAAACTAAACATTTTCTGACCCATGCTTATGGAAATTTCTTTTTAAAGAATCATCATGTAATGTTTGGTTTATGCAGTTAGGAACACCCTGTATGTAATAATAATCAAAATTTTCAGAAAATTTGAGAAATTCCCTAGTACTTTCAAATTAGTATATACATTACCACATATATATATTAGTATATATATATATGTGGTAAGTTTAATTTGACTCACCTCCCCAACTGTAGTGTGTTCATCGATAGACACAAATATCTTGTAAAGAAGGGTTTCAAAATAATCTCCCAATATTCTATTCATAACGAAGCCCTGTAACGGAGGTACTTGCACTCTATCAGCTCCAGTAATGGGTACATCTAAATATATCAATCCCTTTCTGAAAATTTAATTTTCATGTTGTATACTCGCTTCATGAAATTATACTCACTTGTATAAACTAAGAACAACGTAATAATTCAACTGTCCAGCGTTCTGTGATCCTAAATCTATTAATTTATCTATAACAGCCAATTCTTCTTCATTTACCATCTAAAATATATTTATTTATTTATTTATTTAGGGGGAATTGCCCATTTAACTTGAACATTACGAGACTACAATTTATTTACACAAATACAAATATTCCCATAAATTTAAGAATAAAAAAGAGATTAAATTCCAAACGAATCGTTTATAATACGGAATTTAATTAGTTGTCTGTTTGGAAAGTATATTTTTATGATAAAAATATGTAATAAGGTAAAACTAAATATGCATTTCCGAAATATAGTAACATGCGTATTACTAACACAATCATGAAAACAGTTGTTGATATCCAAGTTACGATAATAATGAGGTCATTACATTCTTATCATAAATTAGAACTTTTGTAAATGTGTAAGTCAAGTAATATCAGTTTCAAAATAACTTTTCCTATAATGAAGTAATTTAAATAAAAATAAATCACCTTAATATCCTCTTCAAGCACTAGCCCAACTTCAACTCTCCACCACGGTTCAATATGAATGTCACATGGAACTTTTGGAAGTAGTATCCGAACGTTTTTCCTACCAAACAATCTACCCCTATTAGACCTAGATTTATTCATCAATTCTATATACTCGTTTCGGCCTATGCCGAGCAAACGTAAACCTATAAACAGACATGATAGATATATTTTATTAATTTCCCTCTACTCACAGTCAGCTGCTGTAAAATTTGGCAACGTATCATAACTTTTCTCAGCCTGCATGAGTTTTTCCACGACAGAAATGTAGTAATTGAAAGGAGTCATTCGTAGGCCCTTTATAATCATATCGGCCAAATGATAAGGAAATAGCATGAGCCGCTCTCTACTGTAAGCAACAACACGCTCATAGTACCTCTTTTCATCTCTAAACACATGACGAACTAAAAGAAAAGAATTAATACACTCTTTCAAATCTAACATTGTCTTACACACTCACCTAAATTTCCTCGATATCTAAGTTGATTTTTTATACTGAAATTCACGACATACCGGTCATATTCTTTTGAGGAGTTGCTTAATATCTACGGGATAATATTAATGATATTACATTATATTTGTTTACATAGAAGATAAACATTATGGTGCAGTAAATTCATACTACCTGCTTTATATGCGCTGGCAAATGCGCCCACGTCACATTCTTCCGGATGTTTTCTTCTATTTCTGCATTCATTGTGCATTACGGAGTTTTTATCATTTTTTTCTCTAAAAAAGAAGTTTTTTAATAAAATGCAGATAAAAAGTCAAAATCGAATCAAAACTTGTGATTTCTGATGATGACAGATGTAAAAAACATGTGTTATCCAGTGACACCAACAGTACCAACACTAAAATGAAAATATAACCACTGATAATAAAATAATAGACCAGCAACTTGTCTGAAATGGTTGCATAAAAATACCCTTCACTTGGAACCATGATGACGCCATTTTGTTGGCGTGCAAAAACATAAGGTACGTTTTAAGCAATTTTGTATTAATTCATAATTCAAGCAAAAATATGGTTTAAAAAGAATACAAATTTATTACGGTAATTATTTACTATAGGGTAAAATGTCCAAAGCGTCCTTGCAGTCGATGAGCCGTTTTCGGGAAAAAAAAATTAAAACTGTCAGATGGACAGCGCCGCGCCATTATTCTATGGCTAGAAATTGGCCTCAATGATTTGGGATCGAGGGGGATTATCCCTCTTTATCCTGCCTCATCTCGTGTAGGCCTGGACAGCCTTCGTAGGTGGGCCCCATCCGTCGTCTACCCCGACCGCAAATGCGGCCGGTGTAGGCGCTTTGTGGGACCTCCTTTTGTCCTGGCTGGGCCCCGCCGGCTAGGGCCCTTTCTTCTGGCGCTCTTCTTGCTTCGCCGGCTCGTCTGTGTAAACCCCGGGGGTAGTGTCATGTTTATGTGTGGTATGGTTGGGTAGGGTAGTGCGGCTATGCAGCCTGGGATGCGCTTTGCTAAGGTGGCCCTTAGGCTAGCGCGGGAGGG